GGAGGAGGTAAGGAGACTGCCCTTCTGGTGACATGGCCAGTGTGGTAATGAAATTTGAGAGGTGTGGGAGAATCCCGGAGTCCAGCTTGGTTCCAGGCTGTGGGAAAAAGGCACAGACTGAGAGGTCACCTGTGCGGCTCACTTCACCTGAGTCCTCTAGGAAGCTGCCAGGTTCTGGAAATGTCCATTTCCTGGTGATGTTGGTTGAAGTTGTGAGAGTTTGTGAGATGGTCCCCACGGCCTGTGCAAGGAAAGAAGAGCCCACTTTTGGGTACAAATCTGGTTTGAATACAAACCAGTCAGGAATAGGGCCAGATGGACTGGAGAACAGAGAGCAATGCATCAGCATCAGAGGACTGGGAAGACATGACCTGAAAATATCCTAGAGCTTTCACTTGAGTCTCCACTAACTTTGACGAAAAAAAAAGAGAGAGAGACCTGGTGCCTTTGTAGAAACAGAGTGGGTATGAAGTGGAACTTGCAAACAGAACAGCAAGCAGGGGGAAAGGATTCTTCCTGGAGGAGGGTCAAGGGGGGTGCCATGTGCTAGCATACAGGGCTTTGGCTCTTGTGTCAGTCTCCAGAGGAACCTGAGAGCCTCATGTCGGAGATGACCAGGTGGGCTCAAGGATCATTGACCGCGGCAGCAGCCAACAGCTGTCTCTGGGTAACAGCAATCACAGTTAGTGTGCAGCCAGATAGTCTTTGACACCAACTGTGCCTCCTATCAGCTGAGTATGCAAAGGGTGGTTGTGGAGACTGACACAGCTGACACACATCTTGGTGACTTAAGATATTCAGTTCTTACCATGGTGGCAAGAAAATAGAGGATGGGTATAAAAGTCACTAATTTACTGATGACTACTCACTGGGTGGATATGATTTTTTAAATTATGTTTTAGTCTAAGAAATTTACAAATATGAAAAAAGTGATTAGGGATTTTTAAGGGACTTTTATATTAGGTAAAAATGGCAAAATGCTATTCCTTGAGCACTAACCATGTCCCTCGTAGCTGCTCCATGTTGAGTCTGAAAGGATAGAACTGGCTGTTGGCCCAAGCACAGTGATTCTGGCTTTCCCAGCAGGCCCTGCTGACGCTGTCACCACTCCCTCGGCATGCTGTCAGGCTCTGAGGCTGGAGCCTGTTTCCCAGGGCATGTGCACCGTGTGTGCCACCTCCCTCTGGGCAGTTCAGCCGTTCTGTGAGGGCAAGCTTCCAGGACCACTCTCAAGGCCTTCCTCAGCCCTCCTGGAGGTGGTACTTCCTCAACTAGAGGGCAGCTGAGGCACAGGCAACCCTCTTCAAGTGAAGGGAGGGCCTTCATGGAGCTTGGCACTGGTCCAGTGTCCTGCCAGCCCAGAAAGCGTCTCTGGTAGCAGATGGCAGGGCAGCTGAGCTGTGCATCTGCCTTGGTTACAGGACGCCATGCAGCATGCTGCAGAATCGAGGGATGCTGAGCTGGCTGAGAAATTGCTGCAGTGGTTCCTGGAGGAGGGCAAGCGGGAGTGCTTTGCGGCCTCTCTCTTCACCTGCTATGACCTGCTTCCTCCAGATGTGGTCCTGGAGCTGGCCTGGAGACACAACTTGGTGGATCTGGCCATGCCCTACTTCATCCAGGTGATGAGGGAGTACCTTAGCAAAGTAAGTACCTGCCCTGCTGTGGCTCCCTGGCCCCTGACTGTGACTCTGTCTCTGGTCTGCAGAGGCCCATTGGGGGCAGCCCAGTTTGCCCACCCAGCCCAGGCTGCTACTGGGAGAGGCCTCTTGCCTTCAGGCTTGAGTGGTTTTCTTGCCAATGTTAATAACCTCTTCTAGAAAATCACCATGGAGAGTGGGCGCTGCGTAGAACTGAGCACTTGCCCTTGCAGTCGTTCTGCCGCACACTGCTGGGAGGCAGGGCATGCAGTGTACTAGCCCACAACCTAGGGCCCAGGGTTCCATGAGGGCCACCTACCTCTCAGCACCAGCTATTGGCCAGCGGAGGAGCACTTAATACAGATTTTAACACATATGTAAGCCTTTAACACCTTAACAAGGGAGGCATTCGTCCCCTCTACAGCTGCAGACACTGAGGTTAAGGTCCAAAGCTGACAGGTGAAAGAGGGTGCTCAGACCCACATCTTCCTGGCCCAGGAGCCATACTCATGTCTTGGCACATCACTTCTGCCACTTTAGATGTCACTTGGTGTCCCTAGTGTCCCATTCTGGCTTTCTCTGCAGGTCGATGAGCTGTTTAACAATGTGGCATGGCAGTGTTTGATTTTAACTCCTTGTGTGTCGAAGCCCTAGGAGCCACTGTCTAGGCCCTAGCTATCCTGCTCCTTCCTCACCTCAGCCCAGGTCCCATAGAGAGAAGAGGAGAGGAGCACAAAAGACTGGCATCAGAGCTCTCTCTGGTGCTAGGTTCCTGGCACTTGGCTTGATCTGTCCCAGAACTGAGTGCACATGGGGCATCATTGTTTCTTCTTTCTTACCCAAGTGCTTGTTCAGCACTTGGTGAAGCCTCAAGGAAGGGCAAGGTGCAGCTTGTCCTCAGATGGCTGTCATGGCCCCTGGCACTCAGGTGGTGCATCCTCCCTGCCAAGCAGAGGGTCCCAGGTGTCAGGTGACTAAGTCTTCTTAGGAGGAGTGGGCAGCCTGGACTGCCTGGAAGTAGAAACCACTGCATTATCTTGGTGGTGTACCTGTGTCCAGAGGAGGACTCAGCCCTGTATAAGCCATGGCACACTCACAGGCTGCAGTCACAACCTACTGCTCCAGTTCACCTGGCGGTCAGTTACCCACTTGGAAAGTACTGGGCTGGAACAGCAGCTGGGGTTCATCAGGGCCCTATTGGGCACTCCTATCTCCACCTGGTTATAGAGACTTCATCTTGTAGAGTGAGGCAGTGGTCACTGCTGGTGCAGCAGTACCCCATGTGTCTATCCTCAGCTCTAACTCTCCTGAAGGCTATGTGCTTGCCTCCCAAATTCACCTCGAGCCCCAGACTGCATGTGGCCCATCAGGCACTCATGTGCTCTTGCCTCTTGTCAGGTAGACAGACTGGATGCCTCGGAGAGTCTACGCAAGCAAGAAGAGCATGTAGTAGAGCCTGCCCCTCTCCTGTTTGGTAGGTGACATCCCATAGCCTGTCCCCTGTCTCCTAGGGTGGGGAGGCAATTCACACTGTCCTTTTCCTGGCTGGGCCTCAGATTGAGGTAGAAATGGACAGGGTAAGGGATGGAGGACTAGAATAGCTACCAGGTGTAGAAAAGGTCAGTTATCCAGGAATGTTAAAGAGGCACCCACTGTCCTCCCTGCTTTAAGGGCAACTGCCTTCATATGCCTAGCAACTGTCTTGCCGTAAGCTGCTGCTGTGTGCCACCCTGCCTGACCCCTGACAGCAAGGCCATTGTTGGCTTTGCACTTGAGAGCCTGCCTGGATGGCCTGGCCATTGAAATCATTTAGTGTCCATTGCACAGAGAGGCTATTGGGTCTTAGAGTGCATTTGCAGCACTAACAAACACAGGCCCGAGGGTGTAATGTGAGCACACAGCACGTGAATCTCCCACGAGCTGTGTGCTCCTTGGGAGTCATTGTGCCCACTCTCTATTAATGCCAATCTGGTTTTTTTTAGATTTTGATGGGCATGAGTGAGACCCAGCCAGTTGAGCTAAGTAAGTGTCCCAGTTGTGAATGAGCTTACCCTCTAGCCCGGCCAGCCTCTGGAGCTGGCCTCACCACAACAGCTCCCACAGTCCTTGCTTCCAAGCACCTGCTCTCCTTTCCTCAGCCTCTGGGTGGTCTGGGCTGGTCTGCAGCCCTGCTTCTTGGGCCCCTCACCACTCGGGGGCAGCAGGATCCCTGCTCACTCTCTGCTTCTCCCTCTGCAGGCCAGCAGCTGATGCTGACAGCTGGCCCTGCTACAGGTCCAGACCCTGCCAGCTTCCCCTATGGCTATGCCACTACTCCCACCTTTACCCAGCCTCCTGTATACGGCTTCAGCGTGTAGTGGGTGCTCAGTGGCAACCCTCCCTCTACTGAGTTATTAACCTTTCCAAGGAGTATGCACCCCAGAAGCACAGAGGACCCAGATGAAAGGCGGGGACACCTGGATGTTATTTATTTTTGCTGGGGCCCAATGATGGCAGCCACTGAGCCATCCCAGAACCTGGGGAGGTCAAGATAGCCCCTGACTACCCAAGAAGACCAGCTCTAGACACTAGGCAGGGAGGTCGACTCAAGTCTCCAGACTTTCTGGCTAGAGCCAGGCATCCTGGGGAGTTTATGTCTGCATGCAGTCCCCGGCGGGGTTCAGTCCGCACTGGCAGAGCTGCCCCCAGGTCATTTTGCAGACGCACCTGAACAGACCTTAACCTGGCTTTGAGCCTCCTGCGGATCATGAATATTAAAGTCAGTTTATCAAGGCAAAGCTTCCCTGCTTGGTGCTGGTGTGGGTAGGAGGGGACAAGTGATCTGCTGGGACCTCCCGGGGCGGGGGACCTACGTACGCCCAAGAAAGCTGCCCAGGGGAATAACAGCAAGGGTGTATTGGGGGTCTTTTCTCGACCGAGTGCACTGAACGGAGCTCTGAATCCCGCAAGGGGAGTGGTAACCGCTCTGCCGATCGGTGTGTTAAGGCCAAACCCTCAAACAGCAAGAATGGGGCTAGTCCACGTGTCTCTCCACCCCATTCTGTGTGGGTCCTGGCGTTCACGGCAGTCATGGGGATCTCCAGCCCGCTCCTTTTCGCGCTCGGCTCCGCTCCTTGCCCAGGCGGACTTAGGAGACTGCACTTTGACCCACAGCTCTGGGCCAGGCGCAGCGCCGCCTCCTAAGGACCCCGCCTCCGGCCCCGCCGCAAGTTGTTGTCAGGAGACAGGCCTCGGCCATTGGCTGGGCTGTTATCCTCGCCCCGACCTCAGTTTCCCGGCCGACATGGGGCGGGACGGGGGCGGGGTCCTGCTCGGACCACGCGGGGCGGAGCCCGGGAGCTGACGCGACCGCCCCGCCCCCGGATTTAACCGGCTGCCGCCACCGCCTCCGCGGACAGCGCCGAGCGCAGGAGGCTCGGACCCGCGGCCCATGCCGGCCGCCCCGCCTCCCGCCTCCCCGCCATGACCAGGCCTCGCGCTCTGGCGGCCGCTGCGCCCGAGTCCGGAAAAGCCAAGCTAACGCACCCAGGGAAGGCCATCCTGGCAGGGGGGCCCCTCGGGGACTTAGACCCCTGCCCACCCGCCCCACAGTCCCAGCCGCGCTTCCGGGCGGGCCACCAACGCCAAGGCCCCGCCCCACTTCCGGGTCGGGCCGGGGGCGCGGTCCTGGCTAGCGGGAGTTTTCCCTGCTTGTCGCCCCTCCGAGCCTTGCCCGGGCAAGGCGGGTGGGGTGTGGGGACCTGGGCGGGCAAAGTCTAGGACGGGGAAGGGGCCCGGGCGGCGGCGGGTTGAGCGGCCGGGCGGCGGGATGTCTCAGGGTCCAGGTCTCTGATTCCCGCAGGAGGCCTGGCGGGCGGCATCGAAATTTGCATCACCTTCCCCACCGAGTACGTGAAGACGCAGCTGCAGCTGGACGAGCGCTCGCACCCGCCGCGCTACCGGGGCATTTGTAAGCAAGGGGCGGCGGCGCGGGACTCTGAGGGGCGGGCCCCGGGGTCGCGGGGGTCGCTCACCTTCTCCTCCCCCAGGGGACTGCGTGCAGCAGACGGTCCGCAACCATGGCGTCCTGGGCCTGTATCGAGGCCTCAGCTCCCTGCTCTACGGCTCCATCCCTAAGGCAGCAGTCAGGTGAGGCGGGCTCGGGGCGGGGGCGGCCACGGAAGGGGACACGGGCAGCGGCAACCCCTCTAACCCCACTTTCTCCCGGCCCAAGGTTCGGGATGTTCGAGTTCCTCAGCAACCACATGCGGGACGCCCAGGGACGGCTGGACAGCACGCGGGGGCTGCTTTGCGGCCTGGGTGCCGGCGTGGCCGAAGCCGTGGTGGTCGTGTGCCCCATGGAGACCATTAAGGTGGAGAGGTTCCCTGCAGCTTCCTCCAATCCCCAGCTGGGACCAGTGTACAAGAATTAACCCCCCACACACACCCTTCCCCCCCCCACACACACACCCACCTGCCCCCAGGGCTGAAGGGGACATCCAGGGCCTTACAGCCACCCTGACAACAGGAATCCAACCAGGCCAAAGCATGCAGAGGGGAGCTGAGGTGGCAGAGACTGGAGTAGTCTGTGCCCTGTGGAGACCCTGCAGTGGGGAGGGTCCAGCAGGATGGGGGCAATGGGAACTGCCTGAGGGGCTGGGTGCAGGAAGTCTGCAGGATGGGCCTCCTCTGGAGGCTGAATTCTTATCTGGAAGACAGTGGGAAAATGGTAAGTTTTATAAAAACCACATAAACAAAAAATATATGTGTTTGCTGCCAAAGCCGTGGGCAATACCAAGAAATATAACTACAAGAGGCTCTTTAGTGAGGGTGGCCCTCTTGTGTCTTTGCCCTCAGGTCCAATAGTGGCCTTGAGTGCCTCTGTTTCCAGGTGGAGAGCTCCACCTCCAGCCCTGGCCTGACTTTGGTGGGCTCTGAGCCTGCAAGTCAGGGGGCTAAGTATGCCCTTGTGACGTCTGGGAGCCAACTTCTTTGTTTCCTTCTCTCAGGTGAAGTTCATCCATGACCAGACCTCCCCAAACCCCAAATACAGAGGATTCTTCCATGGGGTCAGGGAGATTATTCGGGAACAAGGTGAGCCATTTAATCATCCTCGTCAGGTAGGGTCAGGGACCTCAGCCAGGGTGGAAAGAACTTGCACTTCCCCTTCCTGCCTGGGCACTCCTGTATGCAACTTTCTCCAGGCCTCTGTGTAAGTGTTACTTCCATGCCTGCCTCCAGGGCTAAAGGGAACATACCAGGGCCTCACAGCTACCGTGCTAAAGCAGGGATCCAACCAGGCCATCCGCTTCTTCGTCATGACCTCCCTGCGTAACTGGTATCGAGGTGCGTCTGCGGCCCCAAGACTCCACCTCCAAACATTTTAGGGCCTCCCTCCAGGGTTCTGTGCCCCCCACCAGGGTTGCCAGCTTCATAGTTCTGGTCCATGCTCCTCAGCCTTCAGAGCTGTCCCCTTTACCTTCCCATCACCCTCTGACTGCAACCGCCACTCACATCCAGGTGATAACCCCAACAAGCCCATGAACCCACTGCTCACCGGGACATTTGGAGCTATCGCGGGTGCAGCCAGTGTCTTCGGAAATACTCCTCTGGACGTGATCAAGACCCGGATGCAGGTGAAGTGGAGCTGGAAAGGGGGAGAGGAGCTTGGGACAGGTGCTGACTGCTGAGTCCTGTATCATGCTGATGTCTTGCAGGGCCTAGAGGCACACAAATACCGGAACACTTGGGACTGCGGCTTGCAGATCCTAAGGAATGAGGGGCTCAAGGCGTAAGTGGGGGAGGGACAGGGCTGTTGTCTCCACCCCAGGCCCTCCCTGTCCTTCTCCCTGGGCCTCACCCTAAAACCCCTGCCCGTCCCAGGCCATCCCCTGGAAATTGTTATCTTTAGACCCTTGTTCTTTCCCCTCCAACATCTGAACTCACCCCCACTGTCCAGGGGCAGATCCTTACCTGACTCCTCACCTATGTCTTTCTGCTACCCCACTGCAGGTTCTACAAGGGTACTGTCCCCCGCCTGGGCCGGGTCTGCCTGGATGTGGCTATCGTATTTATCATCTATGACGAAGTGGTAAAGCTGCTCAACAAAGTGTGGAAGACAGATTGAGCCCCAAGGGTCTGCATAGGGCCTATACCAGGCGACTCCAGACCAGCCCCCTCTACCCTTTCTCACGATTCCAATGCAGTCGTGCCAAATGTCCCCTTCTTCTGTCCCTCGCACTCCGTGCCTGGGTCTGTCCCCTGTGGCCATTGAGTCCATGTGTTTCATAGTACTGTGTCCCTTGCGTTCTGTATGACACCCCCCATTGTGTCCATGTTTTCAGCTGAGGCTGGATGTCTTTCTGGCCTGTGAATCTGTGCTCACTTGTCCATGTGATTACTTATGATCCACGTGCCTGTGTTTCATGTTCTGTGTCGTGACACTGTGCCCCACTTCCCGGGGTGCCCGTGTGGCCTGGGTCCACAGCCCTATAGCCATGGCTCAGTCCCAGCCCGGTGCCTTCCACCCTGGGCAGCAGGGGCACCCGCCCCAGCCTACCACAGCTGCCTCTGGGCCTCAGCCTGGCCTCCCTGCATTCCAGGGGCTGCATGCCCCCCGCTTCTCCCGCCACTGGCCTTAACTGGTCCTTGGGCCCTCCCTCCACCTGGGACAGGATGGCACCCGCCACTCTCAGGACCACCCTCCCAAGGCAGAATAAACCGGATCCTGTCACAGTCTCTTGTCCCTGTATCGGGCCCATTTTTGGGTGGGCAATAATGGCCACTTCTCTGTGAAGATCAGGCCTACCTCTCACCCAAGGATACTGGCTAGGGGATAGGGAGCCAGGTAGTAGGCAGGTCTGAGCTCCACCTAGGCTTTGTCTGGCCTGTGGCTAAGATCCTGTAGGATTACCTGGAAGGCAACAGTGAGTGGGCAGAGTGGAAAGCTGGCCCATGCCCTTGGGAAATGATGCTCCTGGACTGTTGTCCCTGACCTGTTGCTAGGCCCACTTACCTTCCTGGTTTCTCTTAAAGGGTCTGCTTGAGGGCAAGCGCTTTGTGGGACATTGAATTTCTGGTTCCCTGAGCCTGTGAGCGGGGAGCCCTTCCTCTACCCAGGCTGGGAGGCAGCTGACCTGGGGCAAGAGAGAGCAGATCTGCCTGGTGCTCTAGGGGCACCTCACTCCACAACTCTGGACCTCAGGGAAGTATCCCTCTTGGGATCTTTTCAGGCACAGGTGGGAGCCCAGCATCCCATGGAAGCCAGAGCCCTGAGCTGTCCTTGGGATCCCTCCCCTTCCCCATGAGATTAGGAGCTGGGAACCAAAGCCCATGAGCCAGGTGAGAGAAATGTGAGAGGATGGGAAAAACTAGTATCCTCGGCTGTGTGGAGACAGAAAGTTCCTTCCAAGTGACTCCATAAAAGTCATGCAAGGGTTTGGCTCAGACTGGAAAATAACTTGCCAATACAAGGTCCCATCCTTGGAGCTGCTCCTTTTAGGGGTGAGTGCCTCACATAGCACTGGGATCCCTGGGGCCTAGGGATCCAAAGGGTCTGGGGTAGATCTGAGAGCCAAGTGTGGACTTAGGGAGCAAGGGGAACATGGTTTTTAAAAAGTGGGCTGTGTGTTCTTGATGTTCACAGACTTGCCAGTCTTTGCTGTGGTGGAGGAAGGAGGACCCAGCTACAGAGTTTATCTGCCCACAGGGGCCAAGGACTATCCCACCGCTCCACACATACACCAGGGCATGCAGAAACCCTGGAGGGGCACCAGGGCTGGAGCCTCAACCCCAGGCCACCAGCTCAGCCTTAAGCTTTGCCGTAGAGATAAAAGCAAGTGGTAGACAACGCTGGCCCGCAGCACAGGCTACTGAGGTTAGAGGGGTAAATGGACCCCCAGGTACCTGCCCTCCAGGCTGCAGCATTGGTGGGCATTAGCAGGTACAGAACCCTGGCTTTTCATTTGTTCACTTGGGCAAATCACCTTTTTTCTAATCTATGACATAGGGTGACAGCAACCCACCCCAGTGGGTTACGAGGATGAAATGATGTAGTCCCTGTAAGGTGCTTAGAACAACATTGAACAGAGTAAGCCGGCACATGTGGTAGCTTTTTCTTTGGGTTTAGGAGGTAGTTTGTAGTCTTCAGAGGTTCCGGGTAGTTCCTAGAGCAGGCAAAGCCCAACAACTGGACCCTGAGGGGACTCAATGTCCCAAACACTCAACTCCAGGGATGGCATCCACTTACTGACTGCACATCAGCACCCCAGAGTCCTGTCCCTGTCCCCCTTCACAAGAAGGGACTGAGGCTGTCCTTGGCTGAGAGTAGGGCCTGGGAACCTCCACCCAGGAGCAATCTTGACCCCATCCTTCTCTCCCCAGGAGAGCCATAGCTCTGGGGTCCTCACTTACGCCACACAACACAATGTGGACAGTGGGTAGGTAGCCCAACCAGAAAATTGTGAACTGGATCTCAGCCTTCTGGGGCTGTGAGCAGAGTTGCTCTAGTGGAACACCTGTGTTTAACCGTTTCCTGAAGTAGGGAGCCTTGGTTCTTAGAGCTGAGGCTTGAGGGATGGGGGTGGGTGGGGAGGGATGTCCTGCATGCAAGAAAGTTTATGGTGTCTGGGCTAAAGGCCAACAAGGCTGGAGGGAAGGGAACAGATGGAGAACAGCTGGAGATGCAGATAGGACCCCGGAGGGAACCCAGCCGCATTTAAGCAAGACCCCAAAGGCAGCAGAGAAGAGGCCAGTGGCAGGGACCAGTGCAGACATGAGGCTACTGGGACTAGAACCATTGCCTGCTCTTGTGACAGTGGAACAAGGAGTGATGTGGGCAGACCCTCAAGTCTAGACGAGACTTCCAATCTGGTCACAGGCCAGTGTTGAAAAGAAGGCAGCTATATCTGCCTATCAGAAGAGAAAGGAGCTGAAGAGTGTACAGACCCCAGATCAGCATATTTTGCCCACAGCCAGAACTTCTGTCTGTGCCTGGCTGGAAGCCACAGCCAGCCTACATTCAGCCTTGGGCAGCCTTCACCACCTGGCATGGCCTCCAGCCTAGGATCATGGAATGTGTCCAGGTGGGACAATGACCTCAGGGCAAAGGAGCAGAGGGTAAAGTGGTGGTTGCTTCTGGGGCAGGGCTTGGCCAAACTCCAGCCCTGTCCTCACCACTATGGGTCTGAAGATGTCCTAGCCCCTCTAGGCAAAGGCCTTCAGGCAGCTGCCCTCAACCCCTACCCCGATTTCCTTGAACCCTCCCTCACTGGGTGACAGTACTGCACAGGTGTTTCCTAGGTTTTTCCATGTCCTTGTGTAAGTGATGAATGGCAATTAGAGCTTAGTACACACACACACAAACATTTTTTGTCACTCCTGACATGGTCTGTCTCCTGTAAGCCAACAGTTTTTTGAATTGTGCCTTCAGCCTTCACAGTAAAACGATCTCAGTTGAGGATGCCAGAGCATTTTCCTCATGGACTTTCTACTTACTACGTGTTTCTACAGATTCACTGGTGTGGGCGGGGGGGTGGGGGGGGCGGTAAGGGGTACAACATCAGGGGGTCTAAGGAGCTCCTGACTCCTCAAGATCTGAGCCAGGGACTGGGCACACCAAGACAAGGGCAGAGATGCAGGCACAGTGGAGAACTGGCCACAAAGCACCATGGGAAGACCAGAGAACACTCAGGATCCATAGCCTAGGCTAACAATGTGGGTGACCCATGGAAAACATTGGCCCCTGCTATGGCCTTGTAGCTCCCCTCCTCCAGCGCCTACCTGGCAAATATCCCTGAGAGCAACCTCCCCTCTGCTCAGATTGGATCAGGCCCTGACCCTGACCCTCCTCACCTGTTGTCACTTTTGTTTCTTCTGCTTGGCCAGCCACACCCACCTCCCACTTAATCTTCCATTGGCCAGAGCCTGACCTGGAGGCCCCACTTGGTCACAGGGTGTCATCTGATGTGACCTCAAGGGATAAATCATTCCACCCTCTCTGCTCCAAAGCACTACCGAGATACCTACAGTGGCCTTCTGCCCAACCCCTAGCTGGAAAGCACTGCCTCAAGAAGCTACTGGGGCTTTGGCAGTTTTTAAAGTTTACCGGGGCTGCTGAAGCTTTCTGACTAGCCTACCTGTCAGGCCCGTGGTGGGCCTACACAGACTGACTGCATCCCTGAGCCCTGTCCTCTGCTCCGCTGCCCATGACCTGGCGAGGATGACCTGGCAAGGCACTGCTGCTCTCGGTGCCCAGGAGACTCCTCCAGGGCTGTGACGGCCGGAAGCGGGGGATGGCGGGGTTGTGGGGGATTATAAATCAACTACCGGCGATTGTGACCCAGGGGCTTACCCTGCGGGTTGGAGCAGGTCACGGGACAGGGGCTGTGTCTGTGAAGGCCGAGAGGAGGGTCGCCCCTCACAGTCACTTATTTGTGCTCCCCGGCCGACTGTTAAAGGCCGCTAACCATCAGGGCCTCTCTCAGCACTTGGCTTGGGAGTTCGGAGACTGAAGTCCACGGGCGCAGGAAGAACCCGGGAATATTCCAGAGCCCGTTTCTTAAGAAGGAGCCGAATTCCCCCGGGGACGCGACCTCCATGCCACGCCGAGCTTGGGCAAGAGCGGGAGGCATCAACGCTCGCTCCCGGAAGTCAAGGGGCGGTGCGCGCTGATGACGTAACGGGCGCGCGCCCGGCCCTCGAGCGGGGTGGCTAGGTTTTGCGGATCCCTTGGCGCAGGCACTCCCTCCAGGCTCGGGTTCTCGGCTTTCACCTCTCAATGCCCAGACCTAGTCTGCAGCCCCACAACACTTGGCCTCTTCCCGGGTCACTGATGGCACGTGCACCGACGACCGACTGCCCACGCTGGGCGCTGCGGAGGGCGCCTCCTGACGCGCCAGCCTGAGTGGACATCCCCCGCTCCCGCCCCCACCTGGAAATGCCAGTTTTCCAAAGCCTTACTTCTCCCGCGGCAGCCTGCCACTTCCTCACCCCCAGACCACTGCACACTGCTGTTCCCTCTCCCTGAACACTTTTCCTCACCCTCGACATTTACCCTATAATTCGCGATGTCCTTCCGGCTCTGCCTGATCTATGTGCGGGTAGGGGGGCATGTTCCTATTTCCATGCACAGCCCCCTTTCTGTGTTCTCAGACTTAATCTCCCAGAGGGCAGAGCCCGGTCGTATGGCTCAACCTGTGTCCCTCCACAGGGCCTGGGCTAGAGAGACTCCGGTCACTGCCAAGTGAAGGAAGGAAGGACTTTTAACTGTCTTTTCCTCCCTCTGCAGCTTTTGCTCCAATGTCCCCAGTCTCAGCCATGGCAAAGGAGATAGGGTCAAGAGATAGGGCCAAGAGGGCGCCATCGGCTTCTCCACTGCTACCCGCTCCCAATTCTGCCTGCCTGGCCAACTTCAGTCCATCCACCTTTTGCCACCCATTGGCTCATATAAGGCATGGCGGCCTTCCCACATCTCCATGGAGAATGAGGCCAGGGAAACCCCTATGGTGCAGGATCACCCCTCCGAGTCCCTCACTCTAGGACTCTGTTATTTGCAACCCAGGAGAAGGAGTTGGGGTTGTGTGGGTGTCCTTATAGAAGGCAGCAGTGAGCACAGGCTGTACTGGACAATGGCTCTTCCTGGATGGACCTTTCCTCCTCCCATCTAGCCCCATTTCTCAGAAATGCCCAGAGACAAAGGACCAATCTGGGAGCTACAGAGGCCCAGGCCTGCAGAG